CTGCTGAACTCCTCAAAGGTACATAATTCTTACTAGCTTTAAAGAGCTAAAATTCAGCTTCAAGGAACATGACAGCCCCATTGCACTGAATTCTGGGTTGCTTAATTCCTGATTTTAAGAAAAATTAAAGTCTCTGCAGAAAACTTAGTGAAACAAAAGTTTACCAGTATGGACCAACTTTGAGGAAAGCCCACATGTAACTAAAGTGTGAAAACCAAAGTCTGCATGGACTCTGCATTCAAACAGTGAAATAATTCAATGCTATGGAAATCTGGTGTTTCAGAATGCAACATCTGCATTTGTGCGCATGCTTTTTTGAATTTGAATGCTTTCATCAAGTGAAGCTTTAAAGCATGGCTAAAATTCAAAACTCAGGCTCAAGAAAAGTGACTTGTTGGAATTCATGTTGCATTCGTCTGTTCAGTAAAATGAATTTAAATTAATTCTTCCTTTGTCTTTTCTGTGATTTAGTGTAGCAGTTCAAATACCAGCTAATGATTTTACTTAGCATTATAATTGAGCTTATTCTGTGGTGATCACAATCATCTTTGCAATGTAGAAAAAGCCACCCATTTTCTTTGACAACTCTTATGTCATTTAACTATTAAAAATTCCACTGATGGCTGTATCAGTGACTTCTCTGGTGCTGTAGCTTGTTTTTGAGAGTGTTTGCGTGGGTTACCATCTGTCTGCAAGAGGCCAGCATTACTGCCCCGTCTACACATTTCCTTTTGCATAGGCATCTCCTTTGCTTCATGGAGAGGTGGAGGGGCATCTCCATGGTGCGACCTCATGATACTGTGCAGTGGGATTAAAGCAATAACCCTGATGAAAAACAAAACCGGCTCGCTGTAATGTTAGCCATTACCTAAGCATACTCCATGGGGATATTCCATTTGCTGTCAACTCTACTCATTCTTGGTCGTGCGGGGATGTCAGGCTGCTGCTGGAAATCTCCACTAGTCTGCTGATCTTAGAGATATCCAGAAAGTGTTTGAGTGTCTAGGTGAGGAGTAGCAAGCAAAAACATTTGATGAATGAAAAAAGTATGTTTCTCCCCAGTGTGGAATTAAGCTCAGGTTTAGCAATGGCTAGAGGTCCCCAGGGCTGGCACCTGTGGAAACAAGGACTGAGCCAATAAATAATTTTTAATGGGAATTTATATCTTTCCTGTCAGTAACACTGCTCCATATCTCTTGTATTGTTTTTCTAGGTGTCCCACCCCTGGGTGTGATGGCTCTGGGCATATTACTGGAAATTATGCTTCACATCGAAGGTATGTAAAGAGAAGGTTTTGTTCTTTAAATCAAACAACTGAAGGGCTAGAAGGGACCTCAATGGACCTCTCTTCCCTCTCTCAATACTGAAGTAGGATTGAGTGCTGCATGTAAACACGGGTTGGTCTAACTCATTCTATTTATCACCAGACTAACATTTCCTAGTTTCAGCATGACTCACTACCCACATAGGTAGGAAGATTTTTGCTAATATCTAGCAAAATCTTCATAGAAAATGAATCCAGTTTTTCTACCTTCTCTGTTAGCCCAGGGAAGCAGTTCAACATTCATAAGTTTCTGCTGCTTTACATTCTGAGTGACTTAACTCTTCTCACAGTCTTACCTTTTCTGGATCAAATCCTATTCCTGATTTTTTTGCCCCATAAATTATATTTCCTGATTGTTCCTGTCAGTCTCTTCCAGACTTCCTCTGTATTTCTTGAAATGCAAAACTGGACCCAGTTCTTTACCTCCTTTCCCCGCTGAAGTCTTACCAGCTTTAATCAGAGGGAAAAAGTACCTTTTTCATCTATTATACACCAGTCTTGTTCGTACATTTCAGAATAAAGCTTGGCTTGTTTTTAAATCACAACACATTGTACATAACTATATCAAGCCAGAAGAATGGAAAGAGAAATTTATGAATGAAAGCTGTTACCTTAACTGCCTGAACTATAACAGTGATACTTATCAAGGGCCAAAGAAAGCGTCAAATTTACTAATTAGGGTATTGTTGGAAACCCCAAAATGAATTATTGTGGTACCACTGTAGAGGTAATGTTACAAATGCTGTGTAATTAGCAATACCCCTGTGGCTATTTGAGAACTATAAATCAGTAGAGAGAAGCAGCATTATATTTTGTAAATAGCTATTCACTGTTTAATCAAAGAATAATAGTGTAGCCCACCTGTCTTTTGTTAGTAAAGGCTCTTTACTCCCATGCATAGGAATACTGTTGAGTATGGTTATTTGCTTGCTTCACCAAGTCTCTGTAGTTTTACAATTGGCTATAACTAGTCAATACACCAATTCCCAATTTAAATGTATTCCCAGTAAAAGCAACAAACAGTTTAAAGTCAAAACATAAATAACATAGACATTGGGCATGTGCCATACCTTTACATGTGGCAAAAATGAAAGATCACAAGAACTGTATCACAATTTCCGTAATGCACAGTTGAACATCAAAAGTACAAATAACATCATAAAGGAAAAGATGTAAACATTTTAAAAGCACTTACATGACGCAGGAGATTAAATCACACTTTCAAAGGGATTTAGGGTCAAATTTAGAACTACATTCAACTATATGTGGATTTATCAGCTCACAGCTCGAGAGCGCTATGCTTGGTGCAGCTGTGCCCCAGCTTTGCTATTGCAGGAAGCTGTTTATGGATTTGATAATTTATTTAGCCATAAACAGGCAGGGCAGGGAAGATGCAGAACATAAAGTGTCACAAACAAGAAACCTAAAAGGTGGCAAGAAGGTTAGCAGGGGAGAATCACTGCATGTTGGCTTATTTTTTTCAAACTTCCCCTGGTCATTGTCTCTTGGCCACTGTAGGACCATGCCATGAGCTGGATGATGTTACCTGGTTTCATCTGTAAATCCTTACATTCTTGTATTTTTGCAGATGAGTGCTGGACCAAGTTTTCATTTAATTCTGACAGCATACTCAGTACACATAAATACATAAAAAGTGATTCATCAGAACTAAGCAATCTGGAGTTTGTCCAGTCCATTGGGATTTAACACATTCAACCTTTTGAAATGCCACCGTATGTATACTGACCACATAACTGCTTCGTTTCTCTTCCAAAAAGCCTCTGGCAGACCCAGATCCTTGGCTGCCTGTGGGCACAGGGGCACTGATATAGAAGGAGTAATGTCTTCTTTCCTTAAAGCCAATTATGTCCCCAGGAGACCTGTCACACTTACATGGAACCAGCCCCACACTGTTCAGGTTATGGTATCTGTTGAGGCCATTCTCTGAGGTGGTGAGCCTGGCAAAATGCATGGTCTTTAGAAGAGCAGCAAACCAGTAGCCTAAATCTGGAGCTGTTAAGTGTGAAAGACCCCACAGCACGATCACAGTGAAGCATTCTAATTCCTGCACTGAAAATTAGTGTTTACCTCTGCTTGCATCTGAGTTAGCATTTTTGTTCGTATTGGATATCATCCCTTACAACCCTTTCAGTTTCAGAAGGAAAGGAATGACCTAAATGGCTGCCAAGATGTCTAGGTATCATTTGTATTTAAAATGGCTGCTCAACAGCAAGCACACATGAAGGCAAATTTAACTCTGCCATAAAGCAAGCACACATGAAGGCAAATTTAACTCTGCCATAACTCTCTGCACTTCCACACACCCATTCAGCGTATGTAAGAAGTTACATCAGCATACACCAGTGATAAATTTCCCTTGCCTTTTATCTTCCTATATAAGGAATTAAACTGAAATGAAAATGAAGCAATATATTTACTTTTTAATAGTTTTTGGTTATTATAAGATTTAAAAAAATTAAATTAAAAGCTCATCCTTAACATATGTTTTCTTGGTGAGTCTGCTGTCAGAGGAAAAATGAATTAATCATAACCTCAAAAGCTGTCTGTTGGAAATGTCTGTTTAGAGGACCTGAAAGGTCTTAGAGTTTTCTAATAAACTATAGTGCAGGAATAGAAAGATCTATTGCAAAAAGATGATGCACCAAAATGCCAATAAGTAGGTGATTAAATTTATTTAATATATAGAAAGCATTAAATCATTAGTCAAGGCAGAAATTTTTAATTCAGATTTTGTTATGAAAATGTCATCATCTACAAACATACCCATCTGTACACCTACTAAAAAAAATATTGCTTTCTGAGGCATTTCTATTAACTATTTAGTTTTGGATGTAAAGCCTGATTATTCTCACACAGTGGGTACAACTAGTCTCACAGATAAGCTAGAGATGTCTGTAACTCCTGTCCTCTCCCCTTCACTTTCTGCAGTCCAGGTTGTACAGGGGGCAATGAACCAGCCTGTTCTCAAACTGCCCCCTTGCCCTAGAGCCTGCTTCCTCTTATTCTAAATCCCTCAGACTCTCTTCCTCCTGCCTCTGTCTTCTTCCTAATCACGATATTATTATTTTTGAAGAAAGCTGTTTTAAAGTGGCACAGGCTTTCTGAGGTTTAGTTTGTACACAGGGAACTATGGTACTTCGGTGTGCACTATGCAAGTTTGAATAAACAGCAGCTTGCTTTAAAAAGAAAAATGGTCAGCTGCATCTAAACTAGAAAATGAAATGAGATGACAGCACATGTCCAAGCATCAGAACACAGCTACCTTCACTACTAAATTGTTACCATGTCCCTTGGCATGCTACTGTCACTAGGCCACTGGAGCTCTCCCAGGCAATTCTCAGGCATGATTTGGGGCTCCACATGTGTCCAGGTCATTCTCTATAAGCAATATGGTTCTGGCTGTCCTGCTTTATGGAGACAGAGAATTTAGCTGTACGGATGTGAGCTTGCTGGTCTTGAGTCAGGGTTCTAGCTCCCTTGTGTTTAGCACTGTAGAGGTAGCCATGCCATCTCACTAAATGTTGCTAGATAATACACTATGTCCAATATCTTAGGCTAACATCCTTCCCCTTCTTTGATTGACTTATGACTTCACAGTATGTAAACTCTCTGTTTGTCTATTTTTCATTTACCAACATAGAATTCTGTCTGTGATTGCATCATTCTTTTCACTGCTTGTTCCTCCCATTCGTCACTGGTCTTGAGACAAAATAACTGAAAACTTTCCTACCACTGTTTCTGTCTCTTCCTCCTGAAGACAGAACCTACTATACAACACTGAAGAACATTTTGTTACGCTGAAACAAAATTTTCACCTTCTATTCTTTTTTCATTCTCTGTGGCAGTTTTTCCTTAGTGACACTACTTTGTTTCTCATCTCGATGCTTTTTGAAGGTGGTGTTATACTGATGGATTTCATTTTTAATGTCGATATATTAAGATGGAAATAACATATAAATAGAGGACAAAGAATGATTTTTGGATAGACATATTTGTGTCCTCAGATAGCAACTACTTAAAAAAATCTTTAGATATCTATTAAAGTCATTGTTAAGTCTACTATATGTTTTCTATAATGAATTCTTCATACGGAAAGGGAAAGATGAGCTTATAAAATCTCGGAATAGATATATCTTTCTCCATCTTGTGTAGTTAAAAACTACATTCTCAGTGTCTAGTTAAATGTAACGTTGCTTAGCCTAACATATAACTTCATCTCTGTCAAATCTTTTTGTCTGGGAGAGTTCTGAGCACTTAAACTCTTTCTCAGGAAGGCATTGTACAGCTCTGAACTCTGCATGTACGGTTTTATTCAACCAATTTATAGGACTCTTACATGATGTTTGAGAAGGTTTGATAGTGTTTCTAATGTGCTCCCTAGATAAATCTTTAGTCTTACCAAAAGATTCAAAGTCTCCTGTTTTTTGAGCCTATTTGTCTGTGCTTCTCAGACATACGGAGGACGTAATGTCTCAGTCCTGAAGCATTGCCTCCTATTCCTTTTTAATCTGTCTCTGCTGCTGCTGAGTCAGCTGGAAGGATTATTAGGCAGAGAGTGTAAGAGCTGCTTCCCCTGGCTCCTCGGGGACTGCCTGTGTGTGTGGTCTGCACAGTGCCTGCAGTCTTGTCCTGCATCACAAACTGAGATACGCGGATTCCCCCTCGTGGTTGCATACTGCAGCTCTCCTTATTTAAACCGCCTGAACTTTGATTTTGGAAAGAGGACGAGATTACCTATTCTGCCAGTTTTACAGACAGAAAACATACCCCTTCTAAACTGTACCCAAGAATGAGAAATTGCATTTTAAAATGTTTCCTTTCACTCAGTCTTTCAGGCTGTCCGCGAGCAAAGAAAAGTGGAATCAGGATAGCGCAAAGCAAGGAAGACAAAGAAGACCAAGAGCCAATTAGGTGAGAACAAATATTGTCAAAGGACCTTCACGTGTTTTATAAGGTCATACATATCTTCAGCTTTTCGTTAAGGCATAAGTGTTATTCGTGGTAGTTATCCAAAAGCAGATGGCCACATTGATTTCTATGAATGAACTGCAAATCAAAGATCTGTGTTGATTTATCTAGCCAAGGATACATTTAGAAACAGTTTTACATATGTTTTTCACATTAAATTAAAAAAATACCTAGATTTTAATCTCCTAAAAAACCCTTAAACATGTTTTGCACACTATAGACAAACCATACATGTTAAATAAAGTGGTTATGAGAACAGAAAATTGAGTATCAGTATGAGATTACTACAACAAATCTGACTATTTATGCAGTTTGCAAGAGGAACAAATGCCTACCTGTAGGTCTTGGTTTCTTCTTGCAAAGTGCTCTGATACCACTGACCACTGAACTCAGTGGGTTTAGCGAATGTGTAGACCATTCAGGACTGGATCCTCGGTGGAGAGTTGCAGCAATACTTCAGAGTAGGACAAACAGTGAAGTAAGCAGCCTTGTTTTGACATGTGTTACGTAGCAGCATACTGAAAAAACATTACTTTCTTTGAAACATTTCACTTTAAGATTCTAACCGTGGTTATTTGTTCTTTAGAAGTACACAGGGCAAATGTATGGGGGAATTCCCAAGTAAGGAAGAGCATCAGATGAATACAGAACTGCCTTCCTTGATCTCTCTAGGCTGTAGCACATAGTTTGCTTTAATCTCTCATATTCAGAGAGTGGTTAAAGGTGCTGAGCATTTCTGATGAGGTGCTATGATCACTTTATACCTAACTGTTGATACGTAACATTTTCATTACTTCAGACAAGTGTTTTTTAGATTCCATACACAGAAATAAAATGTACCACAGATTATACTGAGTAGGATTTTATGCTTATAGAGTTTTTATGGGCAGTTTCCCTGAAGAGCAGAGCTCAGTAGCCAATGTTTCAGCTCCAGTGTGATATTTACTGTAATGACCACCTGCAATTCAAATATATATTTCAGTCCTTTTGTTGCAGTTGTATAATATCAACAGCTGTGACTTCGTCTACTGGCTAGCCTCCTTATAGTTTATCAAAGAACATATTTTTTTCATATCAGTAAAGTTCTGCTTGTAATTTTACCCACTACAGGGTATCTTGACTATTTTTAAGACCACAGTGCATGGTTGTTCTTTTCTTTTCATGTCGGGTTTATTTTGACTTTGTTGTAGAGGCTACCAGGTATATGATGGCAAGACAATAAAGTTTATCTCATCTATCTGCTATCCAGATGTCCAGTTCCTGGTTGTGATGGTCAGGGTCATATAACTGGAAAATATGCATCCCATCGCAGTGCATCAGGCTGTCCTCTAGCTGCCAAAAGGCAGAAGGATGGGTACCTAAATGGCTCACAGTTCTCTTGGAAGTCAGTGAAGACAGAAGGAATGTCATGTCCAACCCCAGGATGTGATGGCTCAGGACATGTCAGTGGTAGTTTTCTTACTCATCGTAGGTGAGTAACTGTCGCTTCCATTTTTCACTTATCCTTATTATTTAAATTAGATTAGCAAGATCTGAAACACAGCTTTTTGTCATGACATTTCTCCGTTCCTTTTGAATTTCATTATTACATTGAAAAATAATCTTCCTACATATGTTTTGTAGATAACTGGAAGTCAAGACACATTTTTTTTTTGTCGCAAGTCGTTGCAGGTAGAGGCCTGAATCTGAATCTATAATATACAGAAAATTTTAGGGAAAAAAAGTATGCACGACAATAACTGTAAATCTGCTACTGCTTTATTGAGTGACTCTGGACAAATTACCTTAGGATAGACTTTGTGATACACATCTGAATCGCCCTGATTTACAGAAATGTCAAACACATTGTTGCTTCCCAAACATCAAAGCATGAAACTAAAGAATGTAAGGAACCAGTTCCATAAAAACAAAGTACTTTTACTCATTTGGTAATTAAAATTTTCACTCAAAACAGTAAGTTTAGAATACAGCAGATTAATAAAACTGATGGAATACAAATATTTGAAAAAAGCAATACAAAGCCAAATTTATCATAAGCTTATCAAAAAATAAACTAATAAAATAAACCTCAGTGGTGGCATTTTTCAGAACTTTTAAAAGATTAAGGAAGAGAAAGTGGCCAGTCTCTTAGGAATAAATCTTGCTGCCATTTTAGATATTAGCTTACGAGGAAGCAAGGGTGTTCTTGGAGCTCTGGGTGGGAGACTCAGCCTGAACATGACTCTAATGCCAGAGCAAATTTCTCATTATATAATCACTAATATAAAACCCTTTTACTTCAAATATGTCAAGTTGATGTGCCTAATTTGTCACCCTTTTCCAGGCAGACCTCAGTTGAACTTCTGTACCTTTTAGTTAACTAAACCAACTGATCTTGTTTTGTAGTCAGTTCTAGATATAGAGGTGAAAAGTGTACTTCTTCTTCCTTCTCTTGTCTGTAGCTATTTCCTTTGATTCTTCCTTTGACAACCCTTTATAGCTTAACTCAAAATCCCTACCCTTACTGCAACATTGTGTGCACATAGTTCCTATTTATTGTTCAGGTTCAGAACTGGTTTTCTGTTCAGTGGTTTAAACCAACTGATCTTGTTTTGTAGTCAGTTCTAGATATAGAGGTGAAAAGTGTACTTCTTCTTCCTTGTCTGTAACTATTTCCTTTGATTCTTTCTTTGACAGCCCTTTATAGCTTAACTCAAAAGCCCTACCCTTACTGCAACACTGTGTGCACATAGTTCCTGTTTATTGTTCAGATTCATAACTGGTTTTCTGCTCAGTGGTTTAGGGTACCTGTCATGAAGGGATTCTGGTCCATGACCTGAGGTGCTACCTAAGTGGTCAAATGCATTACATAGCCTGCAGCTCCCATAGGCTGTAGGGAGCAGCAGATGCAAAAGTCCCAACCATTTGTACAGATGTCCACATGTGGATTTAAGCTTATGACTTTCAGTTAAATATCACTGTAGTGTTCATATTTCAGTTTACCTTTCTTCATAATGGTGTAACATTTATTTAACTCATAGAAATCTGTGATTAAGATTTTGAAGTTATTTTACCTTTGGTTGAAAGGGTACAATATAATTGCTGAGAGATTGCTTTCAATGAGTATTTATATAGTATTTACATTTTCAAGGAGAAAATTCTTGTAACAAGAATAACTAACATCTGAAAGGAATGTACCAGTACTAAATTTAACTGTTCTTCAAAATTAAGGGGCAAATGGTACCTAGAGATTTTTTTTGTTAGGAATGTTTTAATGAAAAAATAAAATAAAATTTGTATACTCTCTCTCTCTCTCTCCTTTTTTTTTTTTTTTTTTTTTTTTTTTTACGATGGAGAAACCTAAATATGACTTAGCATATAAGAACAGTTCTGGGGCAAAAAGGTCCATTGTTAGAGGAGAGCACCAGAAGATGAAAGATTGCTTTAAAAGCCTGACTGAAGCAGACTAATCTGACTTAATTGTCTTGATGTAACAAAGTGTTGATATTCTAAGTTGTGAGCAAGTTTCTGGAAGCTTCCATAAGCCATGGCAATAACAAGTCATATCATCTTCAAAATATGATTAATTCTTGTAGAATCCTTAAGATGTTGCTAAAAGCGCTTAGCTCATTTGCTCACACAAAGGAAAATGCTTGGAGCCATTTTAGATGCCTTAGAGGATAATTTACGTGGCCTCCAGTTGTTGCTCAGAAAGGCATACATCTGTGGTAGGTCCAGTGTCATATTTAGCAGCCTTAATGATGTGTCTCCTCAAATGGCGCTTCATGCCTGTATACAGACAACTGAATCAAACCCTGCACTTAGGATTGAACTTCAGAACAGTTCACCTACTTTAAGAATCTACCTATAGGTGGACAAGGTGTTTTTGGTCCTCTTCCAGTGAGTGGAGTCAATGGATCCTGTGGAGTTGATCACTTCACCTGTGAAGTAGACGCCTCCCTTTGATCAGAGCTGTACCCTAAACGTCACTGAGTTCATCAACAGGCAGTGGGATTCTCCTGCCTACAAAGAGACACTTCATGCCATTGGAAGTGTTGATGAGGCATGCAAGATGGCCAGACTGGGCTGGCAAAAATGACTGAAGACTTGTGAGACACTCCCATTCTTTGATTATGACAGCTGAGAGCTGAATGTGCTTCACAGGGGATCAGGAAGGGTGCTAGCCCTGTTAAATGAGTGGGTCCCAGAGCTCCAGAGTTCTGTGGCAGCTTTGAAGCATAGTTTCCATGAAGATATTTAAACCTAGGTGTCCTAATCGGAAATTTAATCCCACGTAAATTACAGACTATGCATTTCCTTACCTAATGATGGAATATCCCCCACTTTTAGTGTATCCATTTTAATAGGCTGTGGTCTCATCTTCTGCCTCTTACAACAACTTACTCTACAGCTGTGGTTGTAAATCTCAAATGCCAGCTTCTGAAGAGAAGCAATGCTAGGACACTGAGACTGGTTTTATATACAGCCTTTTGCAGGTATAGCTGTGTTCAGCATGTGTGGGGAGAAAGCAGGGCTACGACCATTAACTGAGTCAGTAAAAGCTCCTAGGGAAGTAGTAGTTAAAACTGTTCAATTCTGGCAGAACAGCTCGCTTCTCTCCTGATAGGTCACTTTTCTTCCCTAATACAAATATTTTTCTATCAGCAGACTTCTTTAGGCAAATATATTAATTACATGTGTAGTGACCTTAATGTGTTATTTGAGATTTTATATTCTGCCATTCGTAGACTGCTGTTAATGTGCCGTTATCCAAGCAGCTGTAATACACTGGAAACTGGAACAGCAGATTGGCTTGTGGAAATTATGCCAATTGTTCCATTAATTAAATACATATATATATGTATATTGAGGTTTCTGAGGCAAAGATTTCTTAGTGCTGTTGTTGCATTTTGTACACATGGTATAATTCCACTTATATCAATGGGCCCTTGAGATGATCCCCAAGTGCTGGTAAATCAGCACTTAGTTAAAAACCTGCTCCAACTGGTATTACGTAGTCTGTAATTTAAATATATGCATGCTTGTACATACATGCTTCTGAAGTAGAAAACAGTAGTCAACTGAAAAAGTCACAAACTTCAGTAAGTTTTGAATCCCACCCTGTGAACAAAGGCACCAAAAAAGGCTTTTTTTTTTTTTTTTTTAATGTTAGCCATGCCTGTCTGCAGAAATTTGTATAAATAGTTTTATTTTGTCAAGGAGTTTTGCATAGTAAAGAATGGCAACAGGGAGTTATCAGAAGGGACCTGAAGTATAGGATTAATAGTGCTATACTTCAAAAAGGAGCCTGTGAGAGCAGGAGAGGCCAGTGTGAAATTACGTGACCTATCAACAATATGAAAATTAATTGGAAGGCATGTAAGCATGGAGTCAGTAGAGAGGGAAATGAAATAGGTTATAATGAAATGTAAATTGGTTATTATATTCTAGCTTTCCAGTTTGGTTCTTGAACAGGCCCTTACATCCTCATATTTGATTTCAGAATATTTTTCTGGATGGCATCACTTCTAATACAACTATCAGTTGGGGACTTTCTCAGAATATACTTGGATTTAGCAACCCTACTCCTTAGCACAGAAGGGGAGGTGTGCTTGTGCTGACTTCAGTGGAAATTACATTCAGAAATGCCTTTTCAGATCTAAAACAATGTTCTTGCTCCCATCTCCTTAATTTAATTCAGTGTTCACCCATTTCAAACACAGTAATGTAGCTTTTAAATTCCCTTTACTATAGAAAACTGCTGTGGTTTAAGCCCAGTATGGAGCTCAGCCCCACACAGCTGCTTTCTCCCTCCCTCCCAGCAGGATCAGGGAGAGAATCTGAGGGGTTAAAGCAAGAAAACTCCTGGGCTGAGGCAAAGACAGCTTACTAAGTAAAGCAAAAGCTGTCCATGAAAGCAAAACAAGGAATTAATTCACTAGTTCATGACAGCAGGCAGGTGTTCAGCCATCTCCAGGAGAGCAGGGCTCCATCATGTGTATCAGTGAATTGGGAAGAAAAATGCCATAACTCTGAATGTCCTCCCTTCCTCCTTCTTCTCCCAGCTTTTATTGCTGAGTCCAATGTCATGGTATGGAATATCCCTTTGGTCAGTTGGGGTCAGTTGTCCCAGCTGTGTCCCCTCCCAACTCCTTGTGCACCCCCAGCCTACTCGCTGGTGGGGTGATGTGAGAAACAGAGAAGGTCTTGACTCTGTGTAAGCACTGCTCAGCAATAACAATAACCTCCCTGTGTTATCAGCACTGTTCTCAGCACAGAAACAAAACATAGCCCCATACAAGCTACTATAAAGAAAATTAACTCTGTCCCAGCCAAACCCAGTACAAAGCCATACGCTAGTAGAGGTATAATATGCAAGAGATGGTCAGATAATAAGAGTTTTCCCCATTTACAAGCTAATGCTAAATAGAAATGAAAATGTAGAGAAGGGGAGTTTTTCTTTCGTGTATCTGGCTCCTTGCTGAGGACAGT